TTTTAATCTTGTCACCTTGTATTTTCGTAAATAAGAGAGAAGAATATTTAAACGAGACGCACTAAATAATAAAGAGTTTAAGAGATCGCGTATTTACATATACTCGTGAGTGTTAAACAATGAACGCCCGAGTTTTTTTCACTCTTAACTCTAGTTGACTATATTATATTTTGCTACCGTTTATAAACGTCAAATGTTATAGTAGAGAGAAAATAAATACAGTGAAGAAATAAAATAAACCTTTTTATCTCGATTACAATGCATATCATAAAAAACGTTGCATGAAAATAAGAATTTGGGAACGGGTGGTTATATGGGGGTTGGGTTTGGAGTTGGAGAGGGCAGGGGATCGAATGTAGGGGTGTTTTTATTGCGAGAACAAAACTAAAGATAAAAACAAATAGATAATGAGAAAGAGAGAGAGAGAGAGAGAGAGAGAGAGAGAGAGAGAGAGAGAGAGAGGAGAGCTTAAAAACATTTTGAGCATGAAATCCAGTGAAATCGTGCAATGGGTGATAGATTAATTACACACACGCACACACGTACATATACAATGAAACAAAAAAAAATAAAAAAGAAAGAAAGAAAAGACAAAATAAGTATCGTAATAATGGATGCTCGCTCGCAAGTCACGATGCACGTTCCTTCTCGGTATTCGGCGCCGAGTTTTTAAATAATCCTACGAAATTTGTCGTACAAATGTTTCCTTTTTAAGAATTTCAATTCGTTCCAAACGATATATTATATATATATATTGTTTTAGGTTGTTTTACATAAGGACGGACAGTGATCCGAAAAACGAGAGCACAATTATTGACACTCCTTTATAAAAATAAACAATATTAATATTTATCTTAACTCTTCTTCTCCGTATATAATATGTAATTTATTTCTCGGTGAATTTGATATAATACTTTCAAAAACTTCCAAAGCGCTCAGGCAAAAGCAGTATATGATGTAAAAACAAAGATTACAAAAGAAACATAATTAAATGATGAATGAATAAAAAGTGATGGTAGGACACGAGGAACGTATTAAATTAGCGATAAAATAATTAATCGTTCCTTTTATCCTCGTGCCTACAAGAGTCCCTCATTTAATTAAACAATTTCTTTCTCTATTACAAAAAGAGGCTTCGAATAATTTGTATTTTTTGTGATCGCTTATTTTTTATTATGATCAACGTGTGTGTGTGTATATACATATATCTATATCTCTCTATATATATATATATATATATTTTTAAAGAACAGCTATTGTGTAACAATTATATCGGACAAATTATGTGAAACAAATGTTTTTCCTTTTTTTTTTTTTCGTTTTATAATTATGAATGAAACTAACTAAGAGAGACGTCTTTTTATCTCTAATTTCACATATAAAATAATATATCTTCTTTTTATAAATTGAAATCTTATATACATTTCGACGACGACTTCCAAATGGTGTAAATGTATAAACAAACAAAAGTAAAAGTTAACTTTATCGTCCTGTCGTGACGCAAACGTTGCGACGTAACAGCTGCTTCCACCTGTTACAGGTTATACACACACGAAAATAATATTTGTGCACAGACATATATTAATACACGCATAATATACACAACTTACATATTAAAACACGCGTTTTTACATAGAAGGAAACATATAAAAAATGGATTTACATGTACACGCAAAAAAAAAAAGAAAAAGAAGAAAATAGGGGGAACGTTTTCCTTACGGGATGCAAAGTTAATTTTTTTGTAGAAAAATGAATACTTGAAATTGAAATGCGACGATGCCAAAATAGTATTAAAGGTAATAATTAGAGGTTAAAAATATTTGTAATAGTAAACTTAAAATATATAAGGAAGTCATTAACGCGATATGAACAAAATGGATTATTTAATACACATACACATACACGTCGCATTCGTAAGCAAACACATGTAACAATAAAATTTAAATAAAACGATGAGGTGACGTTGAGAAACATTTAAGAGATTAAACGAAAAAAAAAAAAAGAAAAAGGAGAAAGTTAATATTTGTTGGAAGGAACTTCTAAATGCGCGAGTAGGAAAAAAAATAAAGGGGAAAAGAAAGAAAAGTTGACAAATGTATTTTTTCTTCCAATGCCAAAAAGATGCCATTTTGTTTTTTACGAAAAAACCTACGAGAAAAGTCCTAAAAAAAGATGCGAAGTTAAGAGGAATGAAGAGAAACTTTTGAGATAGTTTGTAGAAGAAAACGTATGTAAGTGTAATAGAGCGAAAAAGAAAAGGGAAAATAAAAAAAAAAGAAAAAGAAAAAGAAAATAAAAACTCGATGTATATGTCTCGTGAAGTATAAAATAACAGATATTCATTAAAAAAAGAAAAAAGAAAAAAACGAAAAAAAAAAAAACAAAATAAAAAACCCAACAAAAGGAAATAAAAAAAAAAAAAAAAAAAAAAAAAACACACACACTTGTTCGCCTTATGATGAAGAAGCA